AATCCTTTCAGATAATACCTAGTCAAAATTAAGAACATCAGTTTTGTTTTGTTAGTGGAATATTAAGTATGAAACTAGGTTTGGGAGTTGCCGTGATAGTATAGTGTGTAGGGCGCTTGCTTTGCATGCAGCTGACCCCTGTACCAGATACAGTCCTTCAACCCCTTCCAGAAGTGATTGCTGAGTACAGAGCCAGGAGGAAGTCCAAATAAATAAATAAGTCTGTTAAAAAAAAAAGGACTTAAATGTGTTTTTTGGTTTGGGGTCACCAGTGGTGTTCAGGGCTGACCACTGGCTCTATGCTCCAGGATCAAACCCGGGTTAGCCATATGCAAGGCAAGCATCTTATTCCTGTACTATGTGTCTGGCACTCGATTTAAATGTCTGTGTCGACACATTAATAAACAACAATTTAAGAGTTCTCACTGCACACCAATTTTTTTTTGAGGGGGGAAGGCTCAAATGCATAACAATTTTTAAATAGGATTCAACTTATGGGAAAGAGGTAATAAAATCACTTTTCAAAAACTTTGTTCTATGAAGAAACAAGACATCTTGCAGTCTAATTCCATCTTTATTTACTTAGGTTTTTGGGCCACACCCAGCAGTGCTCAGAATTTACTCCTGGCCGTGTGTTCAAAGATCAACCTTGGTGGGCCCGGGGAACCATATGGGATGCTGGGGCTGGGGCTAGACATGGAGTCAGCCGTGTAGAAGGCAAGCACTTTCTCTGCTGTACTACTGCTCTGGCCCCTAATTCACCTTTAAAAGATAAAGAACAGGGAGGAAAGCTCTTGCCTTGCATGTTGACAACCTGGTTCAATTTTTGGCCCTGCAAATGCTCCCCCAGCACCTCCAGAAATGATTCCTGATTCCTCAGCACAGAGCCAGGAGTAGCCCATGAGCACCTCTGGGTGGGGCATAACACAAAAAAACCTAAGTCAGAATCATGGGCCAGAGAAATTGTACAGCAGGGTCTAAGGCACTCCAGGAACAAACCCTGGTTCGATCTCCAGCACCAAGTGGTCTCCAGAGTACTACCAAAGAGAAATCCTTAAGTTTCCACGAGGTGTGGCCCAAAAACCAAACAAAATATCATCTGACATTACATTACCTGGCACTGATAATACATTAAAGGCTGAAACACTAACTCATGGGCTAGAGCAATAGTACAGCAGGTAGGGCTTTTGCCTTGCACACGGCTGGCCCAGATTCGAATCCCAGCATCCCATATGGTCCCCTGAGCACCGCCAGGAGTAATTCCTGAGTGCAGAGTCAGGAGTAACCCCTGTGCATTGCTGGGTGTGACTCAAGAAAAAAAAAAGCCCCCAAAAAAAGAAAAAAGAAAAAGAAACAATAACTCATTAAGGCTGTCCCTTAAAAAGCAAATTACAAGCAATGATAAATTTTTTTTTTTTTTAAAAATCACCTTAGGAAGGCTAAGGAGATTGATGGTTCAGAAGGTTGGAATATAGGCATAAAAAAGCCCCAAGCAATGCTGGGAACAAACCCACAACCCCAGCACTAGGCTGAAGAAGCAATCCTGGCTGATAGGGGCCATAGGCCGGCCTCCTCCCCCAACTCAATTTAGCAACTCAGGTTGGCTCAGTAAAAAGCAACTGCCTCATAGCCTAAGACCATGAGCTAAGACCCCAGAGTGCCCCTCCCCACTCGCCCCAGGAAGGTTATATTTCAGCTATGTGGAAACCCCACCCCCACTCCCTACCACAATAGAGTATAAGATGTGCACACACAAGCATTGCAGCTACCATGTGACTCTGGAGGGTAGGAGGATGTGCTAGCCCAGGTGAGCAACAGAACCAAAAGTGTGTAGCTCCCAAAATGCCAATGATAATAGCAGGGAGGGGAAGGGACACTGCTGTAGGGCCAGATCAATAGGACAGGGGTGAAAGCACAATAGGACAGGGGTTAAAGCACTTGGAAATCATTAGGTCCCATTAGATACCTGGCACCAAATATGGTCCCCCAAGCACCGCCAGAAGAGACTCCTGAGCACAGAGTCAGGAACAGCCCAGGAGCACTGGCCCCCACACAAAACAAAAACAGCGTGTACTGAAGCAACACCCAGGAACAGAAAGCCTTAGTACTAAGTAAATCTACTCAGATTAAAATAGAAACAAAGCCTACGTAAAAATCTCAAAAATTAAGTAATGGGATGCAGGAGGCCGGGTACCATATGATCTGCAGAGTACTTCTCCCACTCCTCCACCCTCCAGAAAAATAATGACGAAAGCTTCAGTACCGAAAGTTCTCCTCACATAACCATAAATCACATATATGCTATAAATAACAACAGTTGAAATGGAGTCACTTTTTTTAATCAGTCCAAGTAGGTGATCTTTTCCATGAAGAGCATGAAATTAATTTTAACATCACAGTAATATTCCAACAAACAACATTTTGCAAATCATGGACTATGGGTATCTTGCATTTCATGTATGTTGTTTTTATTTTTGAAGTGCCAGGAATTGAACCCATATACACAAGGCATGCACCCTACCACTGAGTTACTTTTTGAGATCACAAACCATACACCTGATAAGAAATTTTATATAAAGAACTTTTGTAATTAATTAAAAGACTGGTGCCAGAGCAACAATACAGAAGGAAGGACGCTTGCCTTGCACATGGCCAATGTAGGTTATATTCCTGGCACCATTTCCGGCCTCCAGAGCTTTCCAGGAGTGATCTCTGACTGAGCAGAGTCAGGACTAATCCCTTAACACTTTCGGATGTAGCTCCAGAACCAAAGCACCCTAGCTGCTATAACTATCTTTCCAGTCCAAAATAATTAAATTTTCAAATTGTACTGGAATCCTAATAGACGCACCTGCCAGGAAAAGTACACATATGGTCAATAAGCAGAGAAAATGTTCAATACCATCAGTCACTAAGAGATGCAAACCAAAATCATAAGTGATATGACATCACACGCACTATGGCAGCAAGCATCAAAAAAGATCAATAATGAAAGCTGGCAAGGCCCAGAGAACTGGGAATCATGCAAGGAAAGAAGAGATGTAAATTGGAGCAGTGACTGAAGAAAACAGTTTGTAAGTTTCTTAGAGTTGCCATATATACAGTTACCCTCAGGTAACTGCCCAACAGAAGCAGTAATATATGACCACACAAAAACCTGTTCAAAGCAGTATGTTCAAAACAAAATGTTCAAAGCAGCACTATGCATAACAGACAAAAGGTGGAAACAACCCAAATATCCAACAATAGATGGTTATTATGTCAATAGGCTGAAACATACAATGAAACTCAGCTATAAAAAAAAATAATTACACAGAGATTCACGGTTAAAATGCACATACACAAACCTTGAAAATATTGAGTAAAAGATGTTAGTCACAGAAGCCCCACATACTATGTAACTGCACTGACATGGAATGTTCACAAAGGGAAAATTCATAGGCTAGTGGCTGGTGTAGTGGTGTATATGGGTAAACTGGTAATAATTATTAGTGCATATTCTTATTGAAGCAATGAACATGTTCTAAAACTGGGGTGACAGTTACACAACTGTTAAGTATATTAAACCCACCAAATTATACACTTTTAAATAGGCTGAAGTTGTGTGAGAGCAATAAAGCTATTTTTTAAAAAGTGAAGGGGGCGGGTGCAATGGAGAAACAGCACTCTTAACAATTTCCAAAGCAGTCGAAAAACCAGGAGCAGTAATAGAGGGCAGGGCACTTTCTTGCACAGGGCCAAACTCGGTTAGATCTCTAGCACGGCATCCCATATGGTTCTGCACTGCACCGCCAAGAGTAATTCCTGGGTGCAGTCAGGAGTAAGCCCTGCCCAACTTTGGGTATGGCCCCCAAACAAACAAAAAATTAATTCATGCATCCTGACAGTCTCTATACTAACCACCTAAAAGTACACTTTTAAAAATTACATAGTGCATACTTTTGTAAACGCAACCCCCCTCTCCATAAGACTTTTAATAAAAGCAAGACACACGCATCTTCTAGTAAAATTTCAGAATAATGATCACAACATGGAATCTACAATTTTTCACAACCTCCCTCCCCCTTTGATTATACAGCTCTATTAGACACTTTCAAAGCAGCAAGGGCTGAAGTTGATTTAAATAATGGTTTTGGCAGTGGTGTATTTTCCCCTTATTTTCTCCCCTTAATTAACTCCGTTAATGCAGGGGGGCGGGGGAATTCTTCAAAAAAAAAAAAAAAGGAAAAGTAAGAAAAAGCGAAAGCAAAGAGAAACTAAAAATTGGTACACATCCCAAAAAGCTACAAAGCAATTACAACACCCTTTCATGAACATTTTAACCGACTAAGGGGCGGGGGGGATTAAAAAAAAAAAGGAGGTACAATAAAACTGAGAATTTTTAATAGTCGACATTAGGCCTCAACAATCTTTTAAAAAATAAAAAGCGTGGGAATGAACTTGTGCATGATGCAGGTGGGAGGAAATCCTGGGTGCAATCTGGAAGTGGGGTCCCCAGGCGGGCCCGGGGCCAAGCCCGCCGCCCGGCGCCCCAGCTGGGGCCTAGCGCGGAGTCCCTGCGCCCAGCAGCCCGGCCCCGGGAGCTGCGCTCGGCGGCGCCTGGGGACTCGCTCCGCGCCGAGGTCAGGCGGAGCAGCGCCGCCAGACTCCCGGGGGCTCCACCCTCCCCTCCTTCAGCCCTCCCCTCGGCGGTCCCCGGAGGGTACAGGCAGGGCACGGCGCTCCCAGGCTGCGGGGGGAGGCGGGAGGGGGAGGGGGGAGGGTGGCGTCCTCAGTAGAAAGGCTCCGCCGCCCCGGAGTGGCGGCCGCGGGTTATTAATAAACTCCGCGGGTGCCCAGCGCTGCTGCCGCGGCCGGCCGTAGCATCGGCAAGGCCTGCGGCGAAGCTAGGCACCGTCCGAGTCCGAGCCCGGGCCCGAGTGGGCCCGCGCCGCCGCGCTGAGGGCGGCGGCCGGGCGGAGAATAATGCACACTGGGTAAAAACACATTTATATACGAACCTCCGAGAAAATTTTCCAACAATTCCTTCGTCCGACCACCATGCACCAGGACAGGAAACAGCCGCCCGGCCCCCGGGCCCCGCAACCCGCATAGCTGGAGCGAGGGGCCCGCCCCCAGGCCTCATTGGGCTGCCTCGACGTCACTCACGGGACGCTTCCTGCACGTCATTGGCTCCGAGCGAGGCGACGCGGAAAAGACACCGCCTGGTCCTCGGCCCCTCGCTGTGACGTCAGCCGCGCCCGGAGCGCCGGCCGGCGCCTGAGTGGCTCGCGCGCGCGGCCCACTCCCGGCGCCCGCGTGTGACTGGTGCGCAGGAAGCCTCGTTCCAGATTGACACCGCCGCACAGAGCAGTGCGTTATGCCGATTCTGGGGCCCCAGCGGGAGGCGCCATTTTGCAGCGAGGGAGGGAGGCAGGTCCTTGTGACTAGCCGAGAGGGAGTCGGGGTGACAGGCGCCATTTTCCCCTCAGGGGCCGGGCTCTCCCGGCGGGCGCGCTGCCGCGCGTTCTCGGGGTCGTCGGGGCTCGGTCGAGCGGGTGCCCGGGGGTCGGCCTGCTGCGGCCGGAATGGCTTGGGCGGCGGCGGATGGAGCCGGACGCCCGGCCGCTCCCGGGCTGGGGGGGCGCCTTCGGGACCCCGCCGAGGCCCTGGGGCCGGGCCGAGGGCTCTGCTTTTCCCGCGCGCGGCTTTAGGCGGCTCTGGGGCCGGTGCGGCGGGGCGGGGGCGTGGGCGAGCCTCCCCGGGGGGTCCCTGCGAATGCTGCGGGGCGGTGGTCTCGGACTCGGCCCGGAGGACTTGGCGGCGGAGGCGCTGGCCCGTTGGTGTTGTTTAGGTTCAGGTTGGGAAGTATGTAAATTGTTCACCGTCCTGAATTGTTGCACTTTTCCCTTTTGTGTATGTCGCGAGTGGAAGGGGAGAAAAGGCAAAAGACATCGAGCTGTTCCCCAGCCTTCAGAATGGGTAGAAGCGAGTGGCGAAGTTCAGGTGACGTTTCCTAGAGCTGGCGACCCGTACCTTTTGTGGACTCGTGGGAATTATTTGTCTTTTCCGCACCTGCTGCTCCCCTGGGTTCTTTCTGTCCCCAAAGTTATGGTCCCGGCCATAATGCTTTTATGAGCGTTATTTTAGAGCAGGTGACAGAGTGGCTACATCTTGATTTTATTATTTACAGAGAACTCATTGCCATTCCCCCACGCCCCCAAATCCACTTGCTTGCTTCGTAAAGATCTTAGGAATGTTCAGTAAATGAACGAGTAAGTTCCCCTTGGCAACCAAGACAGTAATGATGGGATCCAGTAAGTGGGGGTCAAACAAGATAGGGAAAATCGTTCTTTTCATGGGTGCATTTGTCCAGTTTCCCTCCTGTCCTCCATCAGGAGGTTGGAGTGCTGTCCAGGAAATCCGATCCGCTCACTGCACTGTGTTTGCATTCCAGGTGATTATAGAATGGCCTAGGGGTTACTTACATGCAAAAGATTATCTGGCTTTTGAGTAGAAGGGAATGTTTTGAGGTGCTTCCCCCCCTCCCCCGCCCCCCCAAGAAGGGGCCATACCAGTCCTTGCTCATACTCCTGGCTTTGCACTTTGCACTCAGGAATTACTACTGGTGGTGCTCAGGGGACCTTATAGGATTCTGGGGATGGAGCCCAGGACTATTGCATGCAAGGCCAGGGTCTTTACGTATTGTACTATCTCTACAGATCCTAATTGAATGTTCTGGTTCATAGTTCAGCCCTTTGAAAGTTAATGATCACCTTTTTGGGTATCCACCATAACCGAGATTTAGTAAAGGTTATGTAGGAATTTGGGATCCACCCTAATCTAGATTTAGCTGCATAATTGGTGCCTAAATGTTGAAGGAAAATGTAACTTTGATTTTCTACCATTCATTAGTTTTTATTTTTTGTTTGGGGTCCACACCTAGATGCCCAAGGATCATTCCTGACTGGGCCCTGGAGGGGCGTATCATATAGTCTGCCAGGGTTCAAACGTTCTTCTACCAAGTGTAAGACAAGCACTCCTGTGCATGACCACAAAACAAAGAATATTATTTTAGGTGCTGGAGGGGTAGTAGTGCACTGGGTAGGGTACTTGCCTTGCACATGGCCAGCCTGGGTTTGATCCCCGGCATCCTATACGGTAGCTGGAGCGGTGTTAGGACTAAATACTGAGTGCAGAGCCATGAAGTTACCCCTTTAGCATCGTTGGGGGAAAGCGCGGGGCATGAATTTTAATTTTTTTGTCGAATAGATGGACCATTACAAAAGTTTATGATTGGGTTTCAGTCACAATGATCCAACACCCATCCCTCTGACAATTGCCCACCTCCCACTGCCAATGACCCCCATCTCCCTCCCACATTCCCCAACACAACACCCTTCCCCCCCCCACAACCAATCTCCTCCTTTTGTGCATTACAGTCTGCAGTACAGATACTAAGAGGTCATCGTGTTTATTCAGGGTGTTCAGTATTTTTATGGGGAAGGCTGGAGTAGCTTTTTAACTAGGTGCAGCTTTGGGGTGTGGACATGTATGCTGAAGCTTCAGGAGGTACAAGGAGGTAGGGGAAGATAGCCTATCCCGACCCTGAGAAAGCCTGAAAATTTCAATCACAAAACCTGCAAGCCTGAATTTTTAGCATATTATATCATGGTGGGGCCGGAGCAGTAGCACAGCGGGTAAGGTGTTTGCCTTGTACTTGGCCGACCTGGGTTTGATTCCTCTGCCCCTCTTGGAGAGCCTGGCAAGCTACCAATAGTGTCTCACCCGCACAGCTAAGCCTGGGAAGCTCCCTGTGATGTATTCGATCTGCCAAACACAGTAACAATTTACTGGTGCCCACTCAAGCAAATCGATGAACAACGGGAAGACAGTGCTATGGTGCTTTATCTTGGTGAGGTCTGTCCTGAGATAGTGGAGTCTGGCTGGTGGCATGGCGGCAATATTGGATTAGCAAGCAGCTGCCAGTGCCTCTGGTTGGGTGTGCATCAGGCTGACCTTCCCTGCTCCCATTTACCCTGGTCTGTTCAGCCTTGTGTGGGTCTGACACACAAATCTATTTTGAGATTTATAGATCTCTAGAATCAAGGCCAGTAGAAGAGGTTCCATGGTGATGCTGGAGTTGGTTCCTTGGGGTAACTGCCAGTGATACCAGGAGTATAGGGAAATGGGGGGAGGTAGCCCATCTTGACTCTGAGAAATCCTGGCGATTTCAGTCATAAAACCCGCATATCCGGGACTGGAGTGATAGCACAGTGGATAGGGTGTTTGCCTTGCATGCTGCCGACCCAGGTTCAATTCCCAGCATCCCATATGGTCCCCTGTGCACTGCCAGGTGTGACCCAAAATGGAAAAAAAAAAAGAAAACCCACATATCTGAAGTTTCAACAGGTTATTGTCTTGGTGAGGTCTGTCCTGAGACAGTGGAGTCTGGCTAGGGGCATGGCAATGATTTAGGATTGTGGGAGCAAGGGGCTGCCAGGGGCTTTGCTTGGGCAGATACCAGGCCAACCTGCCCCCATCAGATTTACCTTGGTCTGTTCAGCCTAGTGCAGGTCTGAGATTAACTAAGGCTTTTGATCTCTTTGATGTTTGTGGATCTCTGAAGCAAGACTGATAAATGAGCTTCCATAGCTGAGCTGGAGGTAGTTTGTGAATGTGGCTCCCAATATGTAACTTAATTAAATTAAGCCATTTAATTTCTTGGAAACTTGGTCCCAGTTGTTAGGGTCTGGCCAGAGGCACAACACCAATTTTGGGGTATCAGGAAATCTGAAGGAACCATCAGGTGCTGATATACTCGCCCCACAGATACAGTTGACCTGCTGGCAGCACTGCACCCCTGTGATTTTTTTTTCAAGGTACTATGATTTGCAAAGAGTTTCAGCATGCATTGTTCTGTCATCACTCCCATATTTTTACATTCTTATAAAAATGAAAAACCAACACAAAATTGAAGTTTATTGAAACTGGATTGACTTGTTGAGAACCATCATTAACAGGAATGGAATTGTTGTCATTCCATTTGTCATGGTGTGGAGTACAGATAAGGTGTGATTTTGAGAAATAGCTCAAGGTGCTAGAGGGATGTTTTGCATTCAGGAGGCACTTGTTTGATCTCTGCACCCAGAACACAGCTGTGTCTCACCTAAAACCCAAAATAAAATACTACCTGGGTGTGCATCCCCCCTCAAAAAAAAAAAGTATGGTCCAAAACCAAAATACAATATTCAGATTTCGGGCTAGATGGTTAATACAGTCAGTAGGACATTTGCCTTGCACACGGCCAGCTGGGGTTCGATCCCCAGCATGCCATATGGTCCCCCTAGCACCACCAGGATTCCTGATTACAAAATCAGGAGTAACCCCTGAGCATTGCCAGATGTGACACCCCCCCCCCCAAAAAAAAATCAGATTCTCCAAATCACCTACCATGCCTTACATCTTAAAAAGTTACTGAAGCAATAGCACAGCAGGTAGGGCATTTGCCTTGCATGCGGCCCAACCGGGTTCGATTCCCAACATCCCATATGGTCCCCTGAGCACCGCCAGGTGTAATTCCTGAGTGCAGAGCCAGAAGTAACCCCTGTGCATCACTGGGTGTGACCCAAGAAGAAAGTGTCTTGAAAATAGTTCATTTTTAATCAATGCGCAGGACAGGACATTCCTTGAATATGTGAGGGTTCACTTTCTACAGCAGCCAGAAATAATGTAGTCCAGCTGTTACATAAAATTGTGTTTTGAGTTTGTGTGGGTTTTGTTGTGTGCTTTGGTTTGGGGGCCACACCTGACTTCTTGGGGCTTATTCTTGACTTTATGCTCAGAAATCACCTGAGTGTGACAGGCTTGGAGAAACCATATGTAGTACCGAGTTGGCCGCATACAAGGCAAGCACCTTACCCACTGTACTATTGCTGTGGCCCAGATTATTTTGGGTACACATCTAACAGGGCTCAGGGCTTACTCTTGGCTCTGTGCTTAGGGATCATTCCTGGTGAGGTCAGGGGACCATACATGGTGCCCAGGATTCAACCTGGCATGCTTTTTTCGCTTGTTTGTTTTT